GAAGCTGCGGCGCGTTGGGGCAGCCGGGTTTTAGTCTGCTGCCGGAGCCGTGCTGCGGCACCGTAGTGTGCTTCCTGGAGTTTAAAGGGTTGCTACCCTTTTAAAAAAAACAACCTTAATTTATAAGTTTGCTGTGTACAGTGTGGGTCATTTATAATGACCATTTTTCTAAAATTACTGTATGCAAAAACAAAACTAATGCACATTTTTTTTTCTTTTGAATGTCCTTTGTTTTACTGAAAAAAATAAAATAGAATCATAGAATCATTAAGGTTGGAAAAGACCTCCGATACCATCAAATCCAACCATCAACCCAACACCACCATGCCTGCTAAACCACGTCCCAAAGTGTCACATCTACACGTTTTTTGAACGCCTCCAGGGATGGTGACCCAGCCACCTCCCTGGGCAGCCTGTTCCAATGCCTGACCACTCTTTCAGTGTAGAAATTTTTCCTGATATCCAATCTGAACCTCCCATGACGCAGCTGGAGGCCATTGCCTCCTGTCCTTTTGCTAGTTAGATACTTGGGAGAAGAGACCAACAAATAAGTCGATATTAGAGCTCAATAAAAATACTTTTTAAAGAAAAAATCTTTAATCTTCAGAGAGTATTGTAAGGCTCATCTTTTTCCTCCTAATGGAGAGAGGAAGGTTTGAAAGGAAAATAGACCAAGAAGACATAATTCGTTATATTGAGGGATGCATTTGTGCATTGCACAAGGTTCATTCAGTGTGGTTTTTTTTTGAAGCTCAAGAGGTGTGGTTTCTAAGAGATGACTGAAATTGCAAAGTATGTATGCAAAATAGCGTGCATGATGGTTAAATATGAGGAAAAGTGAAATGACAAGTTTGATCTGTAATTGTCTTGCTTTTTTACATTAATGTTACAGTCCAGGAGCTGCATCTGTTCCTGCCAAGTGCAGATAAGGCTGAGCGATTTCAAAGGAAAAAAACATTCATTTCATCCCTCCTGTAAAATACGAGAAGAAGTATAAGAAATTTTAGGTGATGAGAAAACTTGGAAAATAAGTGGCTCCCCCTGCTGCTAATCGTTGGCTCAGTAAATGATGAGAGCTGTTAATTGCCAAATACTAATCTGTAGGTAATGACAAAAATACAGTAATTTATCTGAAGATTTTTCAAATGTCATTACATCAATTCTGTATTCGGTATTTGGAAACAAATGTGGCATTGTTTTGAAACACGTTAAAGGATTGGCCGAATAGCAGGCGGCCGTGCTCCTGACTGTGGTGATACACACTAAAACCCACCAGAAGGGTCAGCCCCCCAGGCCGGTTTTCTTTTGCCGGTAACTCTGTCAGATGAATAGTCTTAAAAGTGTGAAGCAAGAGCTGAATTCAGGTAGCAGACCTGCTGTGCCACGATGCTGAGACCCGTTTCTACCTCTCAGATTCTGAAGATCTGTTTCGGCACTAGACCTTAAAATAATTCACATCGGTAAGTGAGAACAGCTGCTCCTTGTTACAGCCTCTGGTAGAGTTTAGCAGCAGCAAAGGAGAAAAAAAAGAAACCCCACAGTGTTTGGAGCCACCTTAGTACCCGATTTATGTTGAAAAAGAAAGGGGAATGCCTGGAATGCTATAGGAAGCAGGAGAGTCCAGGAGTTAAATTTAAACGTTGCTCTTTTAACTAAAAGTTGACAAAGGTTATTAATCATCAGGAAGTACATGGGAGCTGTTGGGTTTCAGTGAACTTACTGGTAGATCTCATGTGCGTACATCTCAAGGACAGGTTTCATTGCGAGCACCACAGCCAAAATAGAATTTGGATTAAATAACCAGATTTATATAATTAGGAAACTCGGGTTGCTTCTTTTATTGCTGGCACTGTAAACCTCCCACCACGTTCATAACCCGAGGCTGCTAGCAAGTGTAGCAAAAGGCAGTCCCTGCTTAGACCTCAGATCACTTAGAATTTAATTACACCAAAATGATGTACAGAGTGTGAGTGAAAAAGAATACAGGAGTACTTTTCCACGCGTGATCCTGTTGATATTTTTAGCAAGAGAAGGATGTGTGCTGTAACTTGCAGTTGATGTTTATTGTGTAAACTTGTTCAATGTGCAGTGTCTCTTGCTGAGATTGTTCCCTTACTGTTTTTGTTCAGATTTCAAACATTTTGTTAGGCCTATTCTGACCCTTAGAAAACCTACAATATAGAAGGCATAACTGTGTATAAATGTATTTTTGCACAAATAAATTCACATAATATTGCTAAGACTTACCTTACAAGATACATTTCTGTTAGCAAACTGCAAATACACCAAATCAAGCCGGGGCTTGGAATTTTAAGTCCCTCTTGTTGCTCTTCATTGAACCACGGGCACGAAAGTTTCCACTGAAGCTTGGATCCTACAAAAGGGAATCCCTCAGGCAGCCCCCTAAATTCCTGCTCCCCAGCGTCCTAAATCATCCCATTTCATTCTGCCTGAAGGATCAGGAATGAGCAAAGGGTAGAAGGTTGTCCCTCCTTCTGCTACGAGAAATAAAGGATGCATTAGGCGCATTCAGTGAAGGTCAGCCTTCAGCTTTTAAGGTCAGGAAGCTGAAATGGTTCAGAGCTCTTGGACAGATTTTGTCAGCAAAGAAGAATGTTAAGGACTTCTGCTTGCTGGCAGACATTTATGGAGCTTCTGGTGTATTTAGCAGACGTTCATTATTTTGAAGGCTTGCATAAATAAAAAAGGTATTGCTTTTATAGTAAAATTAATATGACAAAGATCCCTTAGAACTTGGCTTAAAGAAGCAGAGCCAAGGCCTGTGTGAAGGAAGCTTAAAATGAAACATAGGATACCAACGTACCTCAGACCAGGGCGTGAGGGAGCCTGTGGTAATGTGGTGATCCTACTGGGCTCAGGACAGAAGGTGCAAAAGTTGCATAGAGCTTTTTAATGTCTTTTGCAAAGAGAAGCAGTCATTTAGGGATCATTAATACCCTTCACACAACTAGTGAGAAAAAAGCAAAAGGGAAATGAATTTTGGTACCTTTTATTTTTTTCTCCACAGTTGACAAATGTGTGGTCAGTAATCCCATACTTCCCATGGAAAACTTCATATTTATTTATGTCTTGCTAATACAGTGGGGCTGTGATGTGGTTGGAATGAATTTGAAGGGATGAATTTGTGGCATTTCTAGGGGAAGCGTGTTTTTTGCATGTGATAAAAGGAATGCATTTTTAAAGTATCCAATTAGCTTTATTATAATGATATGTGGTTGGTTAGGTTTTTTTTGGACTCTGTGTGAATGAACAGGATGTGTTTACTTAATTCCAAAAAGAGAGCTTCTGATGTCAGAGGTACTTAATGTCATATGTATTTTTGTTCTTAATTGTCTGGTAGATTATGTGAGGAGGTCTTTTTCATTGTTTCTTTGGCTTACATAATATTATTTGTGAAAGTGTAATCATCTTTGTGATGTCTTCTGTTAAAGTTAGCAAATGCAGATCTGGTTATGGACACTAAACTTTGTGGTGTCATAGCGAGTGGCTGGTGTTGATTAGGGAATACATTACAATGAAAATTTCTGTTGGTGCCCTCAGCTGACTGAACAAAAATGTGACCGAAATCAGGAGGGTGAAGAAGAAGGAAATGACACAGGAATATATAGGCAGAAGGGATAAATGGAGTAACAGGTGATAAATGAACAATGACCTGAGTAAATGGGTCTCGCGTCCTAGGAAAATTGTTACTTGAAATAAATTTGTAGTGTTCAAATTTTAATTAATTCAACAAAATAAGAAAAGCTATGAATATTGTTGTGCAAGGTCACATCCTCACTGCCCACCACCACTGCGGCAGGACAGGAGGAATGCAAGGAACTTGGCAGGTTCTAAACTTGTTTAAAGAATCAGGATCACAGCCAGAAACTTATGAAGTTCCTCCTGGGGGAGGAGAGGGGAGCCTGCTATCAACTACGCATTCCCTATGTTTTCAGTAGGTGCTGCTGCTCGTAGGGAAGCTCGGGAGCAGTGCTGTGGGTCAGGCAGCTCTGAAGACTTGCCTGGATTATTGCAGAGACACTCCTGCCTTGGGAACTGCCCAAAGTCAGCAGGCGCAAAGCTCTGGTGTGCTTCTCCTGAGCCATGGGCTCCTCTTTCACCTCAAAGGAAAAGTGTTCCTTCAGTTGGGTTTCTGATACTGGCTTCCATGAAGTAGGCCAAGTAAAGCCTCTTGAGAAGACAAGTGCCACATAATATAAAGTAGCAATTGTGAAACTATGTTTATTGGTCTATAATATCAGATAATGCTGCAGGTAAGTATTAATCATATAGTTTATAGGTCATACTTCTCATAAAGAGAAATCTTTGGGACTACTAGGAAGGCATTCTAGCAGTGTCTTGAAGTACTGGGAAATTACCATAGTGAAATCGTTGTTGCAATCCAGGTTGATAAATTTAAATTCTTTCTGGCTTTTTATTAGTGTGATCAAATATTTCAAAGTCTCTTTAGGCATATTCTTTGTGTTTGAAAAGTAGACCTCATTTTTACTCTTACTAAAGGGTATCCACAGTGCTGATCCATACCTCCCCAATATTAGAAACAGTTTTTCAGCTGAAGCCAAAAGAAGTAGTTTTGTATTTTTTGTGGTTTTAAAAATGTTTACTGGAATATAATTGCACATTGAACAAATATCATAAGCAGTTCAGTCTTTAGCCTTCTAACCAGACAGTTAAAAACTACAGAAAGTGATTTAACACTAGGAGAGATGATGTAAGATCTTGTTTGTCAGATAACTCTGGATACACATTCTCTCTTGCAATCCTAGAACTGTTGCGATTTACATCAAAACAGTGGCATAACTTTTTCATATTACATGTCACACCTACGTATATGTCAAAATATAAATAATGTGCAGGATTTACCTGAAGTTATATATCCATTTTTATCTAAACAGATCACATTTACTGCTTGGTCACATAATGCAATATCTTCCCAGAAGTTTTTGGTTAAACTGATTTTGCATTGTTTTGCAGTCATCCAACACTCTGAAGGCATCTTATGAAGACTGGCTGCTGACATACGGCTTGAGCGTCTCTCCCTTTCACATGCGATGGCAAACAGCTCTCTTCAACCTCAAGTTCTACAACTGGGGGAGATGGAGACCCAGATTTCTGTATTTATGGTATAAATTCAGGATTTTTTTTCCTCTGTCAAATACAGAGTCAACAACTTGACCACATCTGTGCCTTTCAGCCTTAAAAGTGCAATGGATAGACATGTTTATTTCACTAAGCTAATGATAAAACCAAAGTAACGTGGTTGCCTGAGTTGTACTGTGCCAGTATAAGTCTTCTTCATCTGCTAAAAAATACATAGCTGTAATATAGGTTGCATATTGGGATGCTATAAAACTAGAAATCTCTAAACTGTTTTTACCTGTGGTTTGAACTATACATAGTTCCTAAGAGTACAGGTGTTACATATAGTACTGCATACAGAAGTAGGTCCGAATGCAGCTTCTTGTATCCTAAATCTGTCCATCACTGTACACTGAGCTCTTGCACTAGAGCTTGAGAAGTATCATGTCCGTGTTGTCAGTCATTGCCCAGACATTCGTGTACTATACCTGCTCAGAAGCACAGTGCTCACCTTCCATCTTTTATTTCCGTGCTAAGACGGCACAGAGTGCTGGGAATGGGTAAGCAAGCAGGGTGGTTGGTATGGGTGCTCCTGGACTGGTTTAGAAAACTGTTGTTCTGTTGTCTTCCTAGCATTACTTTATATCTGCTCTGAAAATATAAAATGAGTAAGGTTTGAATTTCTTTTCATTTCCTGTATTGCTGCCCTCAGTGAAATAGTAATAAAAGAGGGTTCTGCTTCATGTTGGTTTCTCTCATACGTAATGATTTTACTATTTCAGGTTGAAGTAGTTCTACATCAATTTTAATGTGTATAATTTATTACAGTATAATGTTTCCACCAGTCTCTTTAATTAACATTACAAGTACATGTTGCTTAAAATACATCTATCAGTTCCCAGTGAGCTTCATTAAGGATGGTATAAGAACAATTATTCTATTGTGAGAGGAAGAAGGACTGTGGCGAATTGAAGTATTTTAGCCAGAAAATAAACTTTATCACATCCTTCAACTATTGCACAGTGTAAAATAAGAATAATAATGTTGAATGAAAATTTACCGCTACATGGACTGACATAAATTGAAATTATTTTCTACACTGATTTTAATGAAAAATAAATTGGTGACAAGAACAAGTGTGTTTTAAGTGATTGATTTTAAATCGGGTCTGGCAGTTGTACCTTTTAGTTGTTCTTCTTTAAAAAAGGTTGAGTCTCATTTATTGTTCTTTAGCGCTTTTTATCGTTTGTGAGGAAGGTGCACAATTTACTGAAAAAGCTTGTATAAATAAATATGTATGCTACTCCATCATTTGATTCAGGTCTCTAAATATGTGACAGTGTGGTGCAGCATGGTAAATTATACATTGTTAATTATGTTTTTGTATTCATTGCCAATGGCAAGTTACTTGTATTGGGTAACTGAATAAAATTTAGAATGTATAAGAACAACGTAAAAATGTTTGAAAGCTAATCAGGATGTGGTTTGGATGCAAAACATTTATTAAACAAGGAAAATGTTACATGTTATTAGTCAATGTTATTAGTATATGCTATTATTGTTATTAGTTTTCTTTAGCTAATATATTTGTACTAGACTGTTGATACACAAATGGTAGTAGCATCAGATAAGTTTTACCCTATGAGTTTGGTGTGCTAAGTTGTGCTAAAGCAGTTACATATTCGGAGAATATATCCTGTCTTCTTGCAGCTATGCATTACTAAGCTATGTACTTCTCTTTGTAGGTTCAGCATGGGAATGGTGTTTGGTATAGTTGCCATGTTTGGCTCTGTTATTCTTCTCGGAAAGACACTGATGCAAACACTGACACAGATGCTTACGGAGGCACCAAAAGCCCAGAATGATCGTATGCTGCAAGTTGTGGTAAGTGTTCACTCCTCAGGTCTTTATTTGAGAGTTGTGAACTGATGTTAACCAGCTTCTTAATGGGCATGTGATGCTTAAATCCTCCCATGCAAGAGTAACCTAACTCCTGATATTCGTCTATGCAAAAATTTGCTGGTTTGTTATCAGCCTTAAAAATGGTGAGTGGAGGTAGTAAAAGAGAGGAAGACAAATGAAGGCAAACATGTGGAAGAGTTTATATTAAAAATTCTTGGGAGTGAGAATTGGCTAGTAATTTTGAAATGCCCTAAATTATCATAGTACTAAGACTACAAAACAGAGCTAAGAATTTGCCTCCTCTGAGCTGTGCAATGTAGAGGCACTGGTGGCCTTAAAGTTTGCAGAGCAAATCCATAATCCAGGAGAAAAGAGGAGTTCTATTTCATTTATTACAATATAAAGCAGTGGAAAAAGAAAGAAATGTGAAGAGCTTTCTGTGCTAGTGAAGCAAAGATTCATTAGTGAGAAGATGGCAGATTTTTTGATTAAGGACTTATGCCCAAATTTACCATGTGAAATTGAAAGTTCTGTTTCTGTCATTATCTAGTTAAAGGCCTCATAACAATGTATTTAATTGTTTTATGCATTTCTGATGCTGGACAATATATTGTATGGTTTTAGAAAGGAATATATTTCACAGAACGGGAGAGATTGTAAATACTGTCTTTTTTATCTCTACGCAAGACAGTATTAGAAGAACTGACATTGCCCTTACAACAATTTTAACCTTGAAGGATTCCTAACTACCCTTATTTCCCTAAGAGTGCTATCTGGCCAGAATGTACAGTCATTTTCCAGAAGTGCAGAAGGTCCTATGAGTGCTCTGCCTTCTGCTGCATGGCTTAGAGCAGGGGTGCCCAGCCATTTTCCTGTACTTAAGTAGTCAGCTAGTCTAGTGAGCAGCGGTTGGGACTTGCGTGCTGCCATGGCAGGTCTTCTCATAAGTGCTAAACTGACAGCGTGCAGCTAGGCTTAAAAAACTGCATGATGAGCCTAATCATCAGCCTGTGCTGTAAACTCAGTGCCTGTGTGGTGGTTTGGGTCTGTTTCACACAGGCAGCGAGGCGTGGGAGGGGAGGGCTGGGGCTGCCGAGCTACCTCCAGAAGCAGGCGGGAGTGGGCAGTCTGCATGTCCAGTAGAGCACAGGTTGAACATGAGACAGAAAGTTTTTCATTTACGTGCCAGCAGGGTCTGTCTTAAGCATGTATGTCTATTACGTTCTGGAGTGAGACAAGCCTCCCTTACGTCTTCATTTTCAGAGATCATTATATGGACCTGTCCACTTCTGTGACACCAGAGGAAAGTGATTATTGGCAATACATTGTTCGTTTGAGAAAATAACATAGAGGCAACCAAAGTAAAGATGAGCCTTATGGAATTAATCTGGTGTGAATTGGAACTAACGAAGCAGAAATCTAGGATAACGTTCACAATTTCCATGTAGAATTGATTCCTCAGTGACTGCCTGCTGGCAATGTCACTGCCTTCAAACCAAGAGCAGACTGGCACTGAAAAAGATGTAATGTATAGGGGTAATATGTAGGGACAATGTAATGTCACGTATGGGGATAACATTGCTTCTCCTAAGTTGGCTTGTGGTTCTCTTTCTTTCCTACCTCATCCTTTCGTTTCTGAATGGTCACAGTTGTATAATTCTGCCTTTAAAGAGTTTCAGTATTCTTCTTTGAGGGAGTATGCTAGCATAAATTGACACAAAAAGTGACCCATGTGTGGTTGCAAAGAAGTGAAGAACAAGTCAGGAGGACCTTCTCATTTAAATGAGTTATTTGTGTTTCACTGCCTGGAGGAGAGTGAGTTAGTTTTTGAAAAAAAACTGGTTTTTTTCTTAACTCAACTTTAGCCTGTGGCGTAAATCTGTTTAGCCATTAGCCTTTGGCTATGGAGAGGGGGAGATACAGTTCTGCTTATGTTTTATTGATTGGGATTTTTGTACCCTTCCTCTTCAGTTCAGTCATGTACTTTATTTAACATAGCTATCTGTAGGTAACTGGGCTGTTTTCCGTTAGCTGCCCCCTCTTGTGTTGGTTGCCTGTTAACAAAACTGGGACAGAGGCAGATAAGTTACTAGCAAAGGATCTTCTTTTACTAAAGGCATTTCCAGAAGACCATAAAATATAAGATGACAATCACAGAATCACAGAATGGTAGGGGTTGGAAGGGACCTCTGTGGGTCATCTAGTCCAACCCTCACGCCGAAGCAGGGTCACCTACAGCAGGCAAATTCTTATTAACAAAATACTGCTATTGATTTCAGAACCCTTCATGAGAGTTAGCTTCTGTTTTAGGTGAATGTTAAACTAGCTTCTTTGACGTGAAGTCTGAAGGCATCTGGTGCTGTGTTCTAACAGGCGCTATAGCCATGGTGGTGTTAAGATGGCAGCGCTTGCTCTTGCTGTCTGTGCTCCCGTGTGCCCGGAGCACAGGGCCAGTGGCAATGCCAGTTAACTGATGGATTAGTGCCACCAGCTAATGCTGTCACACAGGCAATGGATGCTCAACAAATGAAGAGCAGCTATCTTCATACAGTGAGGTATGATAGTCGTGCCAGTTAAGATAAATACTTTGATCATGACACTTTGGACAGAATTTGTGGAATGATTCAATTTAACATGAATGAAAACAGTCTTTTGAAGGATTTCCTTTAGCTAGATTGTCTCACCAACCTATTGTAGAGTTCTGCTACCTGGGTGGGTGAACTCATATAATTGAAGAATGTGCAGGACCAAATGAAGGTATGATCAAACGAGATCTGTTCAGTTGGATCTGCAGTCTTTTGTCCCCCACAAGGGTTGTTTTAGAGAGTCCTGTAAAGAGGCCAGGAATTTTTGCCCATAGCATCTTTTTTCTGCCACTGGATTGCAATTCAGGTTGTGTTCACAGCAGTGACTGTACTGGAGTGCACCCTGCCTCGAGCAGGGAGAGCTGGGGCGCCGACAGAACTGTCCCAGAGCCAGCGGCAGAGGTGGCCTTGTCATCCCCCTGCAGCACGGCCACGGGGCAGGGACCGAACCGAGCAGGGGGGAAGTCCGTCCGGAGGAAGGGGGGGATGGCTCCTCGTACGCTGACTCGTGGCTGCTTTGAAGCCCATCTGGAAGGAGTCGGTGTCTCACGATGGGTGCCATGAAGGACTTGGGGAGTGGCGGGAGTCCACAGCGACAGGACGAATGTGAGGGGCTGGCATATTATCTCTCACATAAATTAAACCAGTATACTCATACCAAGTGCTTTTTTTTAAAGGTTAAATTGCCATATGTAGGCTGCCAAAACTTGAACAGTAAACAGAAGTTACCCTTTTTTTTTGACCTTGAAAATTTAAATAGCCTTGTGATTTGGATAGGGAGAGAGAAGGGAGGCTGACAGCTCCAAGCTCATTTTTTGAACTTTTAGGCCTCATAATGTTTGAAGTGCCATACAATTTTTTAATTTTTTTTTTGGAAGGATGGATCTTCTCTGTAGCTACATGACTGGTTGCAGGAAATTGTAAAGTAACACTCACAGTTGCCAAGCCTGTTTCATTTGAGTGGAGGACTGTGTACATTTTTATAAACTTCTCGAGCTTAATATAGAGTAGGACACATTCGGTCAGGGCTGTGGGGAATTAGTAGGGCAGGGAGAAGGCTTTTGCGCCCGGAGAGCTTTTCAGCCTTCGACAAAAGAATAAATATTTAATATATTTTAGAATACATTGAATAAATTGGGAGAAGAGGTACAAACTGATAGTGCTGCGTGAGAATAGCCTGAAGAAGCTGAGCGAAAGCAGCAAGTTTAGGAGCAGAATGATTTGTCTTTGTACCTCTTACTTTCCTCCTGTGTTTTGTTTTGTTGTCATGCCCACATCAACAGGTGCCTGGTGTAAATTTGCCTGTCAGCCAGCTGACCTATTTCTTCTCTGCAATCCTCATCAGTGGTGTGATACATGAAGTCGGCCATGGGGTGGCAGCTATTCGGTAATACAAAGCACTTTTCTCTTCTTATGTGCTACCAAAGCCTAATATTCCAGAGCCTTTACTTACCGGTGAATGTTTTTAGTGCTGCTTTGGTTTATCTAGAGAGTCTCTTTATTCTGTATTTCATAGCTTCCTTAGATCTTAAGAAGGGAGTACAATTAAGGATAGAGTTTTAATATGGTGTCTATTGTACAGATCACAAGAAAGATTTCTGCTTTGCAAATATACCACACTGCATCAGGTTTAAAATAATACTTCTTTTAAGTGGTCTTGTTTTTCACATGGCAATTGCACTTCTGTAGCTGTGGCACTTGAAGAGGAGCCATGCACTATTGGACAATGGTACTTTAAAATAGATTTTAAATTGGTTTGTTTAAACATAGCTTGTGAAGTAGCATACCACCAGGCTGAAGCAGTAACTCAGTCAAATGTTATTTGCCCCTGTTAATCACAGTGGTGTGTTAATTCTGGCCAAAGATGATGTTTTTAATGGCACTTAACTATGATGATTACTTCACAAAACAAGTTATTTGACGTGTCATTACTGGTAAATGACACTCTAGCATAAGAGGGTTAATTGGTGGTTACTGGGTCTGATGCTGAGGTGTTCTCTGCATTTCTCCTGGACATCATCATTATCTGTCCCGTGAGTATGAAGCCCTAATTGCTTCTCTGATTTTCTTGAGTGTAGGGAGTCATGACTGCATCTTAACCCATTACTACCTTTTTTATAACCCCAAAAGTTCTCAATTAAAGGGGTGGTTTGCAACCCTCAGTGTTTAATATGCTCTGTGTGTCTTTCAGCTTTTTTCCTCTGATATTCACAGTGATTTTTCTGTGGAGGATGAAGCTCTTGCTCTTGCTCATCCCACCACAAGAAGAAGCAAGAAAATTTCCTTGCTCTTACAGTGCCTTCACATGCTGCTGGCAAACTGCAGAGAAGACAGGAGTAACTACAGAGTTCTTTTTAACCAGAATGAATAATTCTTATACCTTAGTAGTGTCATATCTTCATTTGAGATCTGGAGCAAAGGCTCTGAATACTGAAGTTCGGGTTATGTTTTCGTCAAAAAATTGATTCCCAGCTGTTTTCAGGGGGAGAATTTGCTTGTCCAATGTACGTTGCTTTTGCTGGTGCTGTTTTCTGCCTGACTTCTTCCCCCCTCCCCCCCTCCTAGCACAGGTTGGGTCTGTAGTGCTGTTAGCGTCAATCCTCAGGGTTTAGGCTTTACTAAATCGCTGTGCTGTGGGAAAATTTTATTCTTCTGGCAAATCACTTTGACTCCCTGAAATCTGATACACTTTTGCCAACTTCAATTCAGGACAGTATTGGCTGTGAACTGCAAGAGCTTAAAATATTTGAGCCTTAGCTTAGTCAAGGCTTGTGCCAAAAAAACCTTCTTCTTCTTCTCCTTCTCTCTGTACCTCCTACCCAAGTCATGAAATCACGTGTAGGCATTAGAATGCCTAATACTAGTTGGTAGTATGGGCAAGTCTGATGAGTTCACTCCAGGAAATTAATATATTACTTTATTCTGATTCATTTTGTATAATTCTGTGTCTTCTTTTATATTATATGCTCAATGAATAAATAAATGCGAATAAATAAAATACTGTGCCCAGTGTTCTATCTCAGTAAAGATACGGAATTGGCTGATCTATGCCTAGTTTGTCTTGGAACATGATTTTTTTTTAATAATAATTGGAATATAATTATTTTGGAATATGATTGTCATGCCTTTGTAAGTCCCTTATGAAATTTCTAGCTTTGTAGAACCTTTACGTAGTTATTCTAAAAACTGCCATTTAAAAAGCAATTGTAAAACCCCTGAAAAAAATATATATCATCTGTATGACAGTGTCAGCTACTAACATATTTAAATAGCATTTGTCCTTTTAACCTCTGGTTTTCCTTTTTTCAGATGACATTTCCCTCATTTTTGTTAGTTTGCAATTCACACTAAATTTCATTTAGAAGAACAGAGAAATAATAAATTCTGGAAATCTATAAGTGAAGCGATTGCTTCTTCCAGATAATTTTTCATAGATTAGTTTGAAACTGCATCCTACAGACTGCCATCTTTTTACTTAAAAGAAAAAATCCCCCAAATGTTAAAATATATGTTGACTTGAAAGTAGGGTTTTTTAAAAAAGTATTTTATGTGTTGCTGTTACCAAGAGACAGAAAAGAAGTTGAACTTACCCTTTATTTTTTACCGGGCTCACAAATGTGTGCCCCATAAAAGTGGCAACTACTGCAGAAACCATTTTTTAGTTTAATTATCTTTCAATTATTTGTATTATGAAAAATAAGTTAGTTTTATGGTTATAATTTTAATTATTCTCATCATCAAAACATACATGCTGTGTAGAATCTCTCAGTTTCTCATTTGTTTCTTTACAGTAACACCACTTAATTTTTCTTTTCTTCTTTTTAAGGGAACAAGTACGATTTAATGGATTTGGGATTTTTATCTTCATTGTCTATCCTGGAGCATTTGTTGACCTCTTCACAACTCACTTGCAACTGATATCTCCGGTCCAGCAATTAAGGATATTTTGTGCAGGTAATAGCTTGTGATTTTTTTATTAAATCTTTGCTTAGCACAGTTACTCTATGCTACAGGCATCATTTGTGAATCCTTGATGAAGGACTGAAGGTTTAAAATGAAGAAGTACAAAAGCTTCTCTTTACCTAAAGGTGATCCTTCTGTTCAGAATCTAAACTGTGATTTCAGAAAGTCATTTGATCATTACTATCCATATTATGTTGTTTTCTGGAGAAGTCAGTTTCTAGGAGCTTACATGAATACCAATTTCCTGTCATGAAAAATGTTATTATATCCCAGATTTGATTCAGAATAGTGTATAAGAAATTCCAGTTGTGTGGTTGCGGAAAAATGTGGTTTTTGACCTTCCTCTCTCATTAGAGGAAGCTCTTATACCAGCTCAGGTGCAGAACTGTTACACCAGCTCAGGTGAAGAAGTTCCTTTATCTTTTTTTTTTGTTGTATATTGTATGGCCTAAGTAGCAAAACCTTGGAGCACGCAAGCTGGAAAAGACTCAGCCAGAAGACTGGTGGTATGAGAACATGACTTCTTGTCACAGGCGAACACCCATGAGCAATTCACTACCATTTTCTGCAATAGGAGCAATCTATGATGTGATTTTTGAGTAGTATTGTGAATGACTTTCAGTGACACGTGAGTTATGTTGCAGGTTACTGTGCTTTGATGTTGCCATCAGGAGGAAATAAAGGGTAAAACACAAACACCCAAAGAGAATCATAGCTTGTGGCTCCAAATAACCTCCAAATGTTTTTGATTTGATGTTTTTTGAAGTCTCTGGCTACTGGGAAGTAGAGCCCTGTTGCTGTGGAAAGGTAGACCAAGACTGTGTTATGCTACCTGAACCACTTGTATTATTGATTTCTAGAGACAAAGGTGGTTCCCAAACTGCTGAAATAAAGATAGAAAAGTTAGCATTTGGGTTTAGTTCTTGATACTGATGATTTTCTATTGCAGGGGACGGTAGGATAGCAGCCAGCCTGCTGGAATGTTTAGATACTAACATTGTTTCTTGAATATGAAATAACTAAAATATGAAATAAATAAAACATTATGTAGAGGATTTTAGGCTGGGCAAACAGAAGCCTTCAGCAAAGCATATTTTCAAACTTTCATAAATCAAGTAAATGATGATAAATGTTAGGTAAGTAAATACGTCTATATACCAAATACCCTAATGAACCAAAATCGTTCACTGCAATAGGCTAACTTCTATGAAGCCCTGTTTCTCAAATTAATTGGTTTCCATTTCCAGCTACTGTGAACAGAGCTGAAGCAGAAGACATACCGATTTTCAAAATGGGTTGTTTACATACATTCCTGAGAAATCGTCTAGAAAAATAAGATTATACGCTGTAATAGAAAATAATTGCTTGCATGTTTTTGAGGACAAGCAAACACCTGTAATGATTTTTCAGGTTTCTTGAGAAACCTGAAATAGGGGAATACAAGGTAGGAACAAGCATGTTGCAAGACTGGTTAGCATCAGTGGCTTGTTATCAGTTAGATATAACAAATATATGTATTATTTTTACCGCTCATGATAGATATGTTTCAGAACTAGGATGTTTGATAATGATATAATGTGATATTCAGTAAACTTGACTCAGTTTTTCTTAATTGTTGGAGTAGTTGAATGAACCTATTCTCAGTGTTCTGAAGGTCTGAGTTTAGAGACATGCTTTCAGATTTTTGCATGGCAGCTAAGTAAAAGAGCTAGAGGAGAGAATGGCACCGAATATTCCTTTTGTAGCCCACCTATACTCTGGAGATTAGAGAGTACATTTGTTGTACAGCAGATGGCATCATGAGTTCAAGAATAGTGAATGAGCATTCTTGTAAGACTTGTGATATTTTTAGCATTAATTCTGTGCCTAGTAGATAAAAAGTGCTTCTGTACAGCACTTCCTTGTAATTAGTTCAAATACTCGTATTATTTTTTGAGATCCTTTTTTATATGTTTTGTCTTGTGTTTAACAGAAAAAGAAATTAAAGATTTTTCAAACATTATTTTAAGGTCTTTTAAGCATTGTGTAAAGTGTCCTTTTTTAAATACAAGGAATTAGGTATCCAAGGATGAGGCTGTTTTAGCAAAATTAAATTGATGGTATACTCAGCAGTATGCCTCTACAGGTATTATCATTTTGAGCCTGTTTATTTTTCTGTAGATTGCCTGGGATGATTTTGAAGCCTTTCTGGTTTAGACTTTTCTGCTGTATTCCAGACAGCAAACTGTGTAGATTATGGTATTAAGGCCCATGTTTTCCTAGCTGTGTGAAAGCATTCCTTGTCACCCTCCAGCTGTTCCATCACCTCTTTTTTTTCTGAAGAATTTTAATTTTTTTTTCCACTTTGCTCTCTCTAGCAGCCACACTGTTACAAAGGAATTTTGTTTCTGTCTTCGATTTTGATCCTTTCTTAAGCTGGAAAAAATAAAATTTATTTTTACGATGAAAAGGTTAAAACAATTAAGTTAAATTATTTACTTCATACTTTTGGTTTTGTTGCAGTTGTGTTTGTGTATGCATGCATATGTATATATGTGTGTGAGATAAGGAGAAATTAATGCTGAAACATTTGATCTGATTGTCTTTCAGTGAGATGATTACAAACTTACAGAAAGGGAAATCACTTTAAGAAGCATCTACTAGTGGAAATGGCAACAAACCCTTACTTAAAGTACTCCAAAAATGTCTCCATTTCTGCAGCATCAGAAACATTGTAAAAGAAGACTAGGTGACATGTAGAGATAGCCAGGGGAAATAAGAGTTATGTTGTGATTCCTGTGTTATATACAGTGCAAGAAAGACAGGTTTAATATGGTTTTAGATATATTTACCTCAGTTCCTGTACTGTAAATATAGAATTGAATCAAACCCCTCCGAACAAGATGAAACACTGTAAGAAGGAAATAGGGAGTCAGCAGCTACAAACTCCTCTACAAAGTGACATCATAGAAATTTAAGTCTGTGAAGAAATATACGTATTCTTCTTTCATGCCTCTGTTCATAAATTAACCTTCCATGCATTCTTACAGTAATTATTTCAGTAAGGTTAATTAGAAGGTAACCGTAGAATCCTGCATTTCAAAAACACCTTTTTGTTATTAGTGTTTATTTAGAAATGTGATTTTTTTCCTTCTTTTTAGGAGTGTGGCATAATTTTGTTCTTGGTGTTGCAAGTTTCATGGTTTTGTTTCTGCTGCCAGCCATCCTTTTCCCTTTCTATTACACGGGTGTTGGGGCACTTGTCACTGAGGTCGCAGAGGTAAGAAAAGATCTTTACTGTTTTCATATATCATGTTTTGTGACCTGAAAAGTACCTGTGTCTCTTATTATCACTGTCAAATTTGGTCAGTGCAGAACTCTGCAGAATCTAATACATTGCACTTTTTGTCTGCTTAAAGTTTCCTTCTTAGTCTCATGTTTTTTAGTATTAGTAAATGAAGGAACATAGCATGGATAATTGTAGACAATTCAGTGTACTATGAAACTGTTTAGACATTTGAGATGAGTTTGCAGGCTTATTTCTGGGAGTTTTTTAAACTTCTTTTCAATATTGGCACTAAGTATATCTACTGGAAGCTGCATTATCACTCTAGTTATTGCTATCTGTTTGTAATGTTGAAGATTATTTTGAGCTGATTTCCTTGCTTGTTTGGTCAGCTGGAAGCAAAGTAGAGATAGACTGCTGAGTTTCTGGAAAGAACTGGTTTTTTTCTGACTTAATCAAATACAGCACAGTTGAACAGCAGAGCTGAAAGGATTCAGTCTTTCTTGGATCTAAAAGTGAACTGATATAACTGAAGAGCAGAGTGACGTTTATTGTGCTTTATACCTTGGAAAGTATAGGTGCACCCTGCTTTGTTGAAAGATGCAAGGTATGAATTTAAGCTTCCTGAACTTAAAGTGGTAGGAAAAACCACAACATATTAACTTGTATGAAAATAATTACTGAAATTTGAAGAGGTCCCCTGGAACACTTGGAGACTTGCCCTTTTCTTTTTATTTGCAATAAATAAGTTATTCTTTGTACAGAATGTCATTTTTGTATTGTTCTATCATAAATTGAAATAATCTGTTCTGTTGAAGCCTGAGATTTTCCGTTTCTCTGGAAATAATGTTTTAACCTAAAGATTTCATGGCTATTCAGCAGAACTGTAAACAAATCCTTGTAGTTTTAACTGTAATAATATGACTGACTTCACTGTTTCTTCTCAGGATTCTCCTGCCAATGGACCAAGAGGTCTTTTTGTGGGAGACCTTGTCACTAACCTACAAGACTGCCCAGTTTATAGTGTGGAAGACTGGAATTCCTGTCTGAGAGGCATTTCGGAGAAGTCACAGGTCGGCTACTGTATAAGTGCAGCTACCCTACAGCAGTTAAGCTTTCCAGCTAGAGGTATGACTTTAGGTGCTCTCTTCATTATTCTGTGTTACAATTTTATCATGTCTTAAAGACTGTTTCGGATTTAGGATTTGCTGGTGGCGCCAGATTTCTCGGAGGTTGAGTCTGCTGTCCTGTCTTAAGCAGTGACCAATATGCCATTCATTTTTGTGAAATCTGAAAATGAGGAAGAGGTAGATGGAAGACAGAAGAATTTCTCTGGTCTTGCAGTCATCCTATACAAATAACCTGTATGATCTCAGTAATTAAATTTGCCTCTTCAGGATATTGCATAACTTGGTTATTCGCACTAATACAATTATCTCCTCTATTTTTAGTTTAGTTATATGGATCAACTCAGTGATCTTTTGCAGATGTAAATCCCACACATTACCTCACTGCTTTGATCAGCATGACATTACAAATTGTATGGCTTAACCCAATGATGTGCTTCATTATGGCCACTTCTTCTGATGTGTCTCACTATACTGGTTTTATGTTTCATTTGCTTCTTCAACCTCACATTGTCATTGCCCATAAACTCAGTTTTGTCTGGATAGCACCTATTGCTTCTAGAAGTCAGTCTGTTTCCTTCTGTTTTCATTTATACATTAAAGTGCTTGTTGCTGTAACAGTTTACCCCTGAGAAACAAAAAAATGTGAACTGAATGAAATTAGAACAATAAAAACATTAAGTAGAACAAAAAAGAACAGTCAAGTTAAATTGGCCAAATGTCTTGTGACATGCCCTAAAGCTCTGTAGAGTTTGGTTCATGCAAGCATCCATGGAGACTGAATTCCAAAGGTAAGGGGCTGCTGCTGAGCCAAACCTATGTGATGCTATTCAGAGCTTCAAAATTATCGCTGCGTTTTTCCGTCATACTGGAAGTAAACAGGAGGCCAGGCAGCTCAGCTTTTTGATGTGCTATAGTTCTCCTGTGAGACTAAAAAGGTAATTATTTTTTTTTAGCATGTAAGGAAAGTAATCTTACAGCTGGAACTAAGACAAATATTTAAACTGGAAACTAGTGGAGTATGGGCAAGATCCTGTTTTTAGAGACCACACAGTTTGGATTATCCCTCTGAAGAGGAGGGCAGCTTTGGCACATGCTTTCAGCTGGGCAGGGATGGCAAGTAGGAACCAATTCTTGAATGTTGTAGGTGTATGTGCTTAGATTCTGCTGTTCTGCAAAATGCAGTTTCAGAGTCATGGATAATAAAACTGCATATTCTGCAACTGAACCAGTCCTATTTAGATTGAAATACTAGAGACTTAATACTAGAGACTGAATATTGCTTCGAAGCTTGGTTTCTGTATTGTGTTAGCAGCTTATTGTCCCACTGCTGCATTCTAATCAGACCAGTCTGTGTGCATTTTTGGAGCCATAAGCCTCCAGCAGTGAGAAATGTTCCTCTGAAATTAAATGAACTCTGTTAGGTCTCTAGCAGCTGTCATTTCTCAAAATCTTGACAGTTCACAACTTGATATAAATACAGAATATCAATAAAAACATATCTAGTAAATGGACCCTATCTACTTGACCATAAAACAAATGGAGAGTAAACTATTTGAGTATGAAGCTAGACAGAAAACAATGCCCCAAGGGCCTTCTTGAAATTAAAAAAAAAAAAGTGTTTTCAATGTCATTTATAAGGAAGCTAATTTCATGGTCATTCACCATTCAAAAACATACATGGTTGCTTAGCCTCAGGGTGCTTGAAAAAAGCATTGAACGGTACAGTGCTTGCACCTGTAAGCCCCAGGCATAAAGCTCCGTGTTAGTGGACTGCAGGTTATGCAGTGATAAATCAACAACCAGTATCGCAGGCTTGATCTACCTAAGGAAGGTAGTGCAGTGTTGCTGTGACACAGATTCTTACAGTGACTATTCTTTTGTGGGTTTTTTAAAAGCTGTTGTTGTAGAGTAAGTTAGGATTAATTCATTTAAAGAACATCCATACAAATATTCTGTACCAGACTATTCAAATCACAGTTTAAAACATCATTTCTTCACTGCTGCAGCCTTCAAGGCTTGGAAAGCTTTCAAAACCTGAATCTTGTAAAGGCTTTCACACTTTAAAGAGGACATTTTGAGTCTTGGTCATTTCCGTAGCCAGCCAGTGAAATCTGTACAGTAGCAGGTAACAAATTTCTATGCCAAACCTAAATACAATTTGGACACAATGGATAAAAATGTTTTTTAACTTGTAATGCTCAGAACATTGCAGTGGTAGATCTCCAGTATCTAAAGGAGATATATTAAGATTAAAAAATCAGTATGTGACACGACTGAAATCAGGTGACATTGTTAAAGTGGTGAAGCTTATTTTTAGTTGTGACTGAACCACAGCTAGGCTCTGTGAATTACTATGATCTTGAAGGCTACAGAATGATTGTTTTACTTTATTCAGAGGCCAGTTTCTTTTCAGGAAGTTACTATAATATTGATCGTTTGCTCTATGCCTATCTTCTTTAGTCTACAGAAGACTCGATGGCTCAGTTGAATGTTGTAGTAACAACAGCCTCACAGACATTTGCTTTTCATATAGCAATAACTTGGACAGCCACCTGGTGAGTTACTTAAACTACTAATTCTGTTTGGTAAATCTGAAATTACTTAAAGTAGTAATAGTTACCAACATTTATGCAGCATACTCAAGTGCTTTAGAATACCTACAGTTTGTAATAAAGGTGTATGTGTATGTTATTCTCCCAATTTATGGTTTAAAAAACTGAAGTATTAGTTATGATTTTTGCCATGATCAATCAGGGAGTCTCTGGAAGAACCAGAAAAGATCTTATACCCCTCATTACTTTAGGCAGAAAGACACCTTCCCCATTTTCACCACTGGATAAGAATACTGGTGAGAATACTTGAGAACAAGGTGAAATAGCTTATTTTGGTGCTTCAGTCTTTAAAGGTACTGAGCACTACAGGCAAAGCAAAGCAGTAGACTATTTGTTCCATTATTTTGTCTGAAGCCAGCAGTGCTGCTCACTAGGTTAAACTAAAAACATGCAAGAGAGGGTCCTAGAAATTTCCCAACTTCTTAAAATCAGGGCCTCTATTTGATTCCTTTTTACCAGGTTGATTTTCTCGTAACGTGGAAACATAAAGTTTCTCAGTAGGATTTTGACTTACTTTCTTCAAAAAACAGAAATGTTTGTTAAAATACATGATCGATATTGACAGTGATGTAATATTTCTAACAGTTCCCTTTACAAGAAAAAGAGCACAAATACTGTGTAAACGTTTGTACACATACCAGTTTATTATTGCTCTGACCTCTAGTCATAAATGCCTAAAGAAATGGAAATAAGTCTATTCCTACATCTGCTATGTTTACAGTTTCTGTGATGGTAAACTTCCCAGTCCAGGGTGGTTTTGTGGTATTTAACCACTAAGAATTGAGCACAGACCAGCAGTTCATTTGAAATACGACAGTGGCTGGTAACGTCCTGGAGTTCAGCAAGATTTGATAAATGACTGTCTCACTGAGCTTTGACATTCTTAAGCTCATAGTTGCTACTCAGGAACAGAGAAGAAATAAAAGCATACAGAAGCCTGTGACCTTCAAGTGTCCTTAGACTGGCTGTGAGGTTTTGAACAATTATTTTAAATAGTCTTTGCAGTGCTATGCAGCAATATTTGAAAGTGTGCCCTCTCCCACTCATCAGAATAGAAAGAGCTTGTGTGGAGGTTAATGGAGAGTGTCTGACACTCATGCATTTATGGGGAGTGTAACTACCAGGCTAAGAAGCAAGAAAAAATCAAGAAAATCCCTTTTTTTCCCCCTATGGCAAACAGTAGATGAAGAACTTTGCTTGCTTGTGTTTAAGAACAAAAGGAAAATTATCACTGAGCTTTTACGAGAGACACAGGGGGAAGAACAATTTCCTCTTCCTTTCTGCTGTACTCTCTTTGGCCTGTGGGGAGCAAGAAAGATCTGGTCTTTCAGATTGCAGAGTGAGAGAGTCTTATAGGCAGGACTCGGGACACAGCACTGCATTAAGTCCTGTGTTCATCTTAGTTGAGAATGATTTCTGAGCTGTCACACAGCTGGTAGATTTGTTGGTTTGTTTGCTGAACGTAACGTTTTGTTCAGCCAAATGAGGTTTTATATCAATGAAGACTAAAACTTCTTAAACAGGTAAGTCACTAGCATGTTGATCCAGGCTGTGTTCATTAGAAATCACTGACGTGTTTAGATGCCTTGGTTTTTTGTTGTGCATGTGTGTACCTTTTCAAAAATAGTTAGCTTTTGTTTTGGTACGTGTACCTTCTCTTCCATATTCCACCAAAAATGGAATGACAGGTTGAATACATATCAGGTAGAGGTTCTGCAGGATTTGACAAAAAAAAAAAACAAATCAGATGTCAGCTCTTCATGGGCTGGTAGTATAGCAGTGAGGCACTTCCTTTGCTTTAAAAAGGAATATATAGCACCTTTTTTTCTGATCTGTTGGAAAAGACCTTTAAATTTGATAATCATTTTAAATGCCCTTTGCAGTATGCCTGTCTGCCAGCACGAAAAGTTATTGAGGCCAGCAAAGTTTGTCGAACCAACATGGACTGCCAGAAGGACTTTATTCCAAGCTTTTGTGTGACTCCTTCTTTAGAGAACCAAACAAGGCTAATCAGGGTAAAACACCCACCCCATATTGACATGCTATATGTAGGACACCCCATGCATCTTCAGTACACAGGTTGGTATTATTTATTGAAACTGTTTAACAAAGAAATTCTATTATGGTTTACATTGCCTGGCTGCTTGAACAAGGTCTTGGAGCGCTTGTCAGTTAACTTGTTTAATGCAGAATCCATTTCTTGTTACAGCCAGTGGAGAGACATGGACTGCTCAGGCCTAAAATGAAATGTGCACAGTGCAATGAGTTACAAAGGTAATAGAAACCATATGTGATATGAGATGGTTGTTTTTTCAGAATAGTATGAAAGGGCTATTTCTATAACAGCTCTCACCCAGGTTAGTCATGGGAACCAGGCACCTCCTCACACGGCAGCATCTCAACTTGCTCTAACATCATGCCGTGGAATATTACCATGACTGCGTAAATCACACCTAATATCCAAGTATCTGTGACAGATTCCTGTGACTACTGAGCCACAAATACAATCACAACATGTTTTATTCCTGATCATTTTTTTTACTTATTTGAGTGCCCAAAATTAAGTAACAGTTTAGTTCCTTACTTTGAAATAGACTATGGCTCTCCTTTAGACAAGCTTGTATCCTTGACCCAGGTAGACAAGTAAAAATTAATTCTGCTCTTGGAGCAAGTACAGAAAGAATGAACAAACTCATTAACATCCTTGCTTAGTAGCTTGAGTGGCATGGTGCAAATTGCCTTCAGAGGGGCTTAAAAAGTATGAAGTGTGAAACTACTGTCCCTTCCTGTGAGGAACCTGTCTGTTCCTCACAGACAGCTGTACCTCACAGGAGGTCTTACTTCAGACATCCTGAAGTACCTCCTGAGCAAGGCATTGTACTTTTCTGAGTAAGCACTGGAATTAGGTACAAAAGAGCTTTAGAAACAGTGGTGAAATCTGGTGGTGTAAATGTTTATGCATTCTAGCATAAACATATTTTTAGTTAATCTGTCAGTCTTTATCTTTCTGTGTTGGTCATATTTTGATACTGCATGACAGATTTTTTATTTCTACTTGTTAATACTATGCCCCCATTTAAGCCCAAAATATGATCTCTTCACTTGTTATTTCTGCTCTCTTGCCATTTAGGAGGAAAACATTGTTCACCTGTGTTACATCAACACACAGTTCTATATTTGATGACATCTATTCCGAATGCAGCAACAAATTTTAAGAATAGAGTTTAATAATTATTTTAGGTTCCCTTTCTTGGTCTCTAACAGTATAAACTTTAGGTACTCTGGAACAATTGATATTGTTCTCTTTTCCAATATGTTGGAGCAATGGAGTTTTAGTCAGTGTTCCCTATTAAACAGTAATTCTGCAGAACAGTTGAATCTGTCAGTCTGTCAGAAGTCAGAAAAGAATGTTACTGTATCTAAAGAGGTAGTTCTTTAAGAAGTTACTGTGTGAAAATACAGTTTACAGTGTATTTACAGCAATATAATTCTAAAGTGATTTACTGTACGCTGGGAATTGCACATTGAATATGTTAATTTGAAGGCTAAAAGCTTGACTTTACTACAAGCTATGCTGCAAATGCATCCTATGCACTATGTTCCCTTTGGAAAAACACCAGAGCTAAGAAGATAGGATCCTGGCTTGGGCAGCAGGTAGTCTACTGTACCATCACAGAGTTCCATGCATTCCAATGAAACAACTAAATATTTCAGACTTAACTTTGCACTGTTCAATACTGGCTTGAGGCCAACAGGTTTGATTTTTTTTTTCCAGACGTGACTGATCAGAATGTGATAACCATTTTTTTACAGTTAAGAAAGGAAAATAATTTCTTCCTCTGCTGGGGCCAAGCTCTTTTCAGTGGAGCCCAGCAACAGCACAAGGGGCAATGGGCACAAACTGAAGCACAGGAAGTTCCATCTGAACATGAGGAAAAACTTCTTCACTCTGAGGGTGACGGAGCACTGGAACAGGCTGCCCAGGGAGGCTGTGGAGTCTCCTTCTCTGGAGATATTCAAGACCCGCCTGGACAAGGTCCTGTGCAGCCTGCTGTAGGTGACCCTGCTTTGGCAGGGGGGTTGGACTGGATGACCCACAGAGGTCCCTTCCAACCCCGAACATGCTGTGATTCTGTGATACTATGTGAATTTTGAAATAGGAATGTGTCTTAGTGAAATGCCTTATTCTTTAGTATGACCTTTCTACCTGCAGGAAACATTACTTTTTAGAGTGGTGCTACATTTAACACACAATTTAATACTGGAGTTGCACTAGTGTGTGCTATGACTTTACTTTCTCAAGAAATATCACTAAGGTAATGTGTGAAAAACATTCTAAGATTATGCATGTATTATTTTCTACTTAGGCTTGTGTTGTTGTCATGATAGTCCTGATTTATGGAGAAGCAGGAATTATTTCATATTTTCATTTGAAGCTAGCTTCAAAATACAATATTTTTTAATATTTGTATCCATATTAGCTACTTACAAGAAATAGGCTATACAACTTACTTCTAGAAAACGTTTGTTTTCCCCAAGTAAAATATCCTAGCAAAAATATTTTTTGTTGATATGGATGCTATATAATGTCTTGTTTCTAGCATAAAAAAACCCTGTAAGGAATCATAATCCTAAATGAATTTACAAGTGCTGGAGATTTGGCCAAAACTAAACCAGAAGGAATGATTAGGGATGCATGCTGTTTAGGATGGACACATTGATTAATCCTTTTAATTAGCATTGTCTCTGTAAAAAGTATCTAATGTAATCCAATATAAATTCATACTGTGGGTTTAATTCATGTGGTATTACTCAAGACTTTCAGACTTCTCTTATTGCAAGCCAGTTATGCTCTAGAGGCTCTCCCTGTGCTGGATAGATGATATATAAGGTTGAAATGGAGGGCCCTGTCACTATTGCCATGCAGCTTTGCAGTGTTTCTTCTTTATTTTGTAATGGGTTTTTTATTCCTTCACATCATTTCTGGTATGGCAAAATCTTGGCTTCTTTCTCTGGCCCTTGTTGGGTGGGAATAACCTGGTGACTAACATTTGCATTTTGAATTCACATTGCTTGAGGGAATATCATATCCCTGAATGCTACTGTATCTGCATCACCCATCAAGGATCAAAAACTGCAAGATTTCCTTCATGAAAAGCGTATAAAAATTACCTAGAAGATAATTTCCCAAAACTGGACCTGTCTCTTACTTGTGTTGTAACCAAGTCTTCTGGAAAAAAAAGCCACTTCCTAGTTTTGGGGAGATTTTTGGGCAACAACAGCCATAATCTCTGATGAAGGTCTGTCTGGTACAGTCTGGTTTCTCAAGATTTCTGTGCTTGTTTCCCCTTGTTGCTGAGGATGATCCTTCTTTGCCTTCAACCTATATTTAAAGGATTGCATGTGTAGTTCTTCTGGAGACCGAACAGAAATATCTCATACTGTACTGTCTCTCCCCTCCATAGCATACATGCCCTTTTCCCCGTGAAGAGGTTTTTGAAAAGCTCTTTGGCCAACCTCGTCTCCAAATCACTTCTAATTAAAATTGTGTCTGTTGTGCATTCTTCTCAATATTTGCCAACACGATCTAGAATTAGCCAACAAAAGAAATGTTAATTCCAGGTCAAATAATTGTTTGATTAGAGTGGGAAAACAATGACTGGTTTGCCTCACCCAGCCTCATTGCTGTTCACCTTTTCCCAGTACTGTCTTTTGAAGATCTGTCTGGAGAACAGAATTTCTGTAATTCTTGTTATTCCTCGAAGGACAAATTTGCCTGCTGCCATTAGGTTTGATCCATTACAGCCACTAAATTAATTCCCTTGTATTACAGTATCGAGAGTTCAGTCCAGCGGCTTGGCTGTCAGGGACAACAGACAGTTTGTGGTAACAAAGAGGGAAGGAGATTAGTGATCCATTCTCAATGTAGGCACAAGTTCAGGTTCAGGATGGTGACTTGTTAGTGGACTTGTTAGGTGTTTGTCAAGAGGCAGTCAAGCTTTGAAATCACAGGGTATTGCAGTGTGTGTCTTTTGAAACCATTGAATACACTGGCTGCCTCAGCCATTTTGCTGTTTTGGCTCATGAACAAGAAGTCTGATCAGATGTTCTGATACCAGCCTTCAGCTTGATGAGTTGTTTCCTTTGGATATCACTTGACTTGGATGCCTCTGACTTCCTGAGCTGGGTGGTGTCCAGGATTTCTGTCTGTTGTGTTCTTCACTCAGTAGTCCAACAGACATTTATTTTCTCTCGGTTCCCCTAAGTCAAAGATCTTTCTTAAGCTAAGGTAAGAGAGAACGTGCTTTTCAAGCTGTCTTGGCACAGCTGCGGCAGTTACGGTATTGGAAAGTTCTCTGCTTGTTGCCACACCAAACCCATTCTTCTTTTTTGGACTCCATGCTATCCAAATTGCTCCAACCCATAGTATGCTTGCTGGTTGGACTAATTATTGCTTCTGACTCATCAGAAGGGCCTGTATTGATGGAAGAAAATGTATTTACGTGACTGATTGCACTAGTTCTCTGCCTCATGTGCAGAACTTTGGAACTACTTTCCTCTGATCTTTGTTCCGACGTCCTTGAATTGTTTATTGAACCTGAAGAAGTCTCATCTCTCCCTTAACTAAGATATACTTAGCAGCACTTTTGGTGTGTTATGTGCTAGTCCTGTGAGATTCCTAAAGTTCTCTTAGCCTATGGTTTTAAAATTACTCAAAGGGTGAGTTAAATTGTTGCTTTCCCAAGGGATGTTTGTAAGTCTTGCTTTCAGATATTTCTGTGGAGATGGTATTTCTTACAACCGTAACTTTTCCCAGGTTGATGGGGAAAATTCAGGCTATTGTGGCTGGCCTCAACTCACGTCCAAAGTTGTTCTTTAGGGACAGAATGACTATTGATGATACTGTGCAAGCTTATTCTTAAGGTGATTTTCTAATTCTGCCTTAACTTATCTAAACATCTTCCTTGTGGGGATAAGACTCTGCTATCCTATGAGTGGAGTCTAGTGAGTGTAGTAGGAAAGATGTCTCTCTTCCAGCTCGCACAGAACTAAGGCTTTCAGACGGTCCCTGAGACTGGCAGACTGAGACTGCTGTTTACTTTGAAAGACTGCATCAAGACTTTTTATGAGACAACCCAGATGGAGCATCCCAGTAGTAACAGAGTGTACTCTGGGACATCTCAAGCTACGTCAGTTTTCTTTGAGGAGTCTCTCATAAACATGTGACATGCACTCAGCTGAAGCTTCATGTACACCTTCAAAGAAGTTACAGTACTAAAGAAGTGTTTCAAGGTCATGTGGTGCTTGACATTGCAATTTTCCAGTCACTATTTATAGCAAGGATGCTGAGCCCCACTTCCCAAGTTTTCAAGTTGCACTAAGTTACATCTTGGAGTCACTTAAGGTATCATCTGAAAGCAGAAAAAGCAGCTACTTGTGTACTGGCTAAGTGGTATGAAGATGTAATGCACCCATGCATCATGTCCTAGCCTGTGCTTTCTCAGAGTGACTCCAGAACTCTGCTCCCTACCTGCCCCACTCCTGTCCACCATGTGCTCAGCCTCAGGTTGGGGGGATTCTGCAGGTACTGCAAGAAGAGAATTTTCTGGCCTTCAGAGAAAGTGCATGTGTGCACCCACAGTATGAATGTATACATGTGGACTGCATATGTTGGAAAAGTCTGGTAACTATAATCTCTTTTTATATGTTTTTCTTTGAAAAGGGCTTAAATTACACGGTGTGGTCTTTATGACTACAGATGTCCAGCTGCCTCTGAAAATATATATCTTAGATCTACTTCTGCTGAAATCGTGCTGATTGTATTGTGTGTAAGAAAGATTTAATCGCTGCACTCTTTTAAAAACAAAAACCAAACAAAACTGTATTTGGATTGGTTGTTCATCCCTAAAGAAATGTCGTTTCAGATCTGTTTTTTCTGAAAAATTATAATCTCAAATTCATCATGTTATAATCCTGGAATGACTGTTCATGTTTTGTGTATCTTTGTATTTTCATTTCAGTAAGTCTCAGCAGTTTTGTACCACGACAAAACTTTCTAAGCATCGATCTGCCTGTGGTAATAGAGACATTTTGCAAGTATCCTTTGAAGTGTGGTTGTTCTTTTAAGGCAAGAAGGGAAGTGTTTAGAATTTGGTGACCCAGCAGAATTGCTGTTGGATATCATTTTAGACAGGATGCTCTGAAACATTTCTGTAGAGTTTTGGCATCTTTATCCCATCTCCGCATTGATTATTGTCCGTGTGCCAAGCTCAAAATGAAATCTCTCACTTTCTTGTGCTTAGCAGGATATTTTTGGTCAGTGCTTTTTTTAGTTCTTTCTTGAGGGTAAGTCTTAACAGCTCTGACGAGAAAGTCAAAGTAAGCCTGAATTTACAGCAGGACAAATGAGATGTTATTGCTAGCTTTGCTATGTCGGAGTTTTATCATTTTTGAGTCATTATACTGAACTAAATAACAGAATATGGTTTTTCTTCTTTTTTTTCTTCAACAGAAAAGAAAAATTAGCCTATTCAAAAAGCAGGATGATAATTCAGTTAAAACATGCTTATTAATTAACGAGATGATGTATCTATATGCATACATAAAGGTTAGTAGGTTTGAATATGGCTAATCTAAGAACCCTTAGCCTTAGAAACTGAAATGTTTATGCGTGGCTATTGAACAATTAAACACTGTAGTTCAGTGTAGTTCATAAAACTAGAGTAAAGATGCTACATAAGCTCCCCTTTTTTGGGAACACACCAAGTTGCATGCTGACCCAGCTGCTTTCTGAGTCATATATCTTCTTGTCCAGCCATTATAGGATGCAAGCCTTTACGAACAATAAAAATGATCTACCCTTGCCTCATTCTCACATGCACATGCACGTACAGAAATCCGCTCAACATTTCTGGCTAACAGGTAAGCAGGAGAGAGAGGCCAGATTTCCCATTATGTTCTAGCCATTTACTTGCTCCAGCGAGGGAGTGTTTTGGAAAATATTCTTAATCATTATTTCATACTTAGGTCATAGGTCTAGAATACCTTCTTACTGCAGGCATGGTGTCAGAGTTATAACCTTTCTTCAAAACCACACAAAGCAAGGAAGGAAGATGGGCAGTATCAAGTGTGGTTTTGCTGTCTCCTGCTTTCGTCTGAGTTGTGAAGAGTGCGGGTTGTTTAAGTATCCAAGTTTAGTGCTTAAAAACAAATGAATCTATAAAGGCAATTCTCTGAGTTGGTATGTTATGGTGTAAAACTCATTGTACTCATATAGTTTCTGTGAAACAGAATGGCAGCTAAAAAAAATAACCCTCATATGTTTCTCTCTGCATACTAGAAGTAAAAAATATGTTTTGTATTAAAAGTTTTATTTACATTTTCTTGGATATTATTCATGAACCTTAACTAATGTCAACCAGGTACCTAATTTCACTGTCAGGAGCACTGGCAGTTATCAATGCTGTACCCTGTTTTGCTTTGGATGGTCAGTGGATATTAAATTCATTCCTGGAAGCCACTCTGAGCTCCCTGATTGTAGAAAAACAAAACAGAGAGCTTGTTGGCTTTTTAATTTTGCTTGCTGGTAGTGCACTTTTGGCTGCCAATGTTGCCCTGGGACTTTGGATGGTGACAGCACGATAGAACATTGGATACACTTTGATCGGTTCTCAAAAGTACACAGAAATAATGAATCCATTGCCTTTTAAAACTTGTTCAGTACTGAGATTGAAATAATTCCCTTAAAATGACACTGAAAGAACAATCACTGGTGTGTGCTGTTTTAATTTAAAAGTGTACAACGTTGTGCCTGTGGTCATGAGAAATCCAATAGAAAGAAGCCGGAACCTTTTTACATACTGTTTATGCACTGTACTAATTTTGGAGAAATTGCATTGTAAAGTTTCACAGGAAAAAGCCTAAGACTTCATTAATTTGGATATCAAAATAAGGGAATTATTTGGCCTCAAATATTTGTACAGTGGGGGATAAAAAAACACTTAGGCTTTATTTTAGAATTTGAAAAATTGACAGAAAATCTGTGTCGGCTCTGATCATTTCTTAGTCAGCATAGTCTTGAGTGTCTTGTTTTTTTTTAATCTGGTATTCTACCAAACTGGACTCTTAAGCCCTAAAGTCTGATCTCTAAATGGTGAAAAGCTAAGTAAATGCTTACCATGTGTTAAGGAGGAGAGAGAGGCCATATGGGTTAGTATCTTTCCTTTTCAGCTGGCCAAAATGACTGGAAGCATGTTGTCCTCAGGATGCAGAGGAGATGTGCCAGCGTCTGTTGAGAATGAGGCACGTGGGAGGATAACAAAGCCCACATGCCTTTCTTACACATTCAGTTGTATATTACCTTACACAGCTGAAGATTTTTTAAAGGCAATATTTGTCAGCAATAGCTACAAGATAACTCAAATTTGGTTTCTGAGTGCTGAAGTATGCTGTGCACAATTATTTCTAAGTGATAAGTAATGTCTGTGTTGTTTTACTCAGAAAATAGTACTGTATTATACCTGTTTACAGTTAAAAAGTGAAACCTGTTGTTTTTATGGTGTCTATCTTCTGATGCTATGCATGTAATACGTACAGTAACTCACTGATGGTTTTCTGTCTTTCAGAGGGTTGTTTTTCTTTGCTAGGATTCATTCTGTTCAAAGATAGCTAACAAAATTGTTTAGCTGAAGTGAGACTTGGATCGGAATTGTTTAGAGGAAGAATATGATTGTGAATTGAACTGTTTAAACATTTGGCTTTGCTTTCTGAAATGAGTACGGACCGTATCCTTGTTCTTAAATGAGCAGTGGAAGAACAGTCAGTGTGTTGCTGACTGAAGTATGTCTGACATACTTGGAAGCTCTTTAAGTCTGTAATATTTTGTACCCAGTAGGATTATATATGGACTGTCATGTCCTCCATGTGATATATTGCCTAGTTTATATAAATGGAGTTCAGTCAGAGCCTTGCCTCAATGTAGGCTGATTTTTTTTTTTTTTTTTTTTTAAATAAAGAAAGCTTTAGTTTGGGAGCCTAAATATTTGAAATAGGAAAATTTTTAAAAGTACCGTGCAGCTTGTGGCACGTCCAGTGCTCCCCACAGGAGCTGCTGCAGCTTAGCGTTCCTTTACAGAAACAGGCTTTCCAACAGGAGCCGAAGCGAGCGATACAGGCCTGCAGGGAGAGTTGAGCATTCATGACCAGCTAACGTAGACTCTCTTGGCACTAGAGGTAAAAGCCTCGGTCATTCTAGAAGTGGGGCTGAGCCCAGTTCCTGGTGCTACTGGATTCGTAACCCGTATAGTTTGCATCTGCCCATTGTCAGCCCAGGCATGTCGGCACAGACCCCAGTAAGAGAGAGTAAATCCTCCAGTCAGTACAGCGTGAGTCGGTCCCTTTGGGGACTGTTAAAAGTCACACAAAGTGCAACAAAGGAAAAACAAACTATCAGAAACTACCAGCAGGCTTCTCTTTCTTCCAGAGACACCCTGAAAGTCTGACTCATCGCCAGTCCCGGTCACATGCAGCGGTTTCAGGGCAGCAGTTCTGATGGGCCCCCCTGCACTCTTCCCATAGACAAGGAGGAGTAGGAGCAGCCTCCTGGTTCTTGTACAAAGCCTGGCTCTGAAACTGTGCCCCAGAAGCCACCTCACTCACTGCAGTGGCTGCTTACTAATCAGAGCTCTTCCTTTCGGTGGCTTTTTGCCACTTTTATAGAATCATACTATCTTAGTATCATAGCATGCTTTGGGTTGGAAGGGACCTTTAGAGGTCATCTAGCACAACCCCCCTGCAGTGAGCAGAGACATCTTCAACTCAGTCAGGTTGCTCAGAGCCCCATCCAATCTGGCCTTGAATGTTTCCAGGGATGGGGCCTCCGCTGCCTCTCTGGGCAGCCTGTGCCAGTGTTTCACCACCCTCATTGTAAAAAATTTCTTCCTTACATCCAGTCTAAATCTACCTTCCCTTAGTTTAAAGCCACTTTCCTCTGTCTCTGTGTCTTGTCCAACCTACAGTGCACAAAATTAATTTGCACTTTGGAGTTTTAGTGCAATTCAGTAAGACAGGATATTTACTTTTCAAAACAGCTACTCTTAAAGTATCAGAGTTGCAGTGCTGTCTTATTATCTAAAGCAACAACAGATACATCTATGGTGATTTCAAAAATATCCTGTGAAAAACATTTCAAGTTTGATACTTTATATATCCATGTTGACTACAACTGCTTGGGGGTAATCTTTTAGCATAGTACCCCTCCTGGAGATGTGTGCGAGAGATTTAAAAAACCAAAGTTTCTGAATTAACATGCACAAGTTACATCTGCTACAAAGAGGCAGGCAGGTTGTTCCTTGTTATTTAATGTGCTACCAAAACATGATGTTTTCTCAAAGGAAACTAAATCCGGTTTATTTTCTTTACACAATCACTGAAAGCCACAGTTATACTGAGTATAACTTCAGTCTGTGTTTGACCTCATAAACAAAAAGTGAGTGGAAAAGACGTCGGTCATGGTTTTAGCAAAACAGACACACCAACACACTGTAAAGACCCCGGTTATCCTATGGGAGAGATAGTACTAGAAGTGTTTAAAAATAATTCATGGGTCCATTTTCCATGTGCTGGAATTCTGCTGAATAAGGGTCAATTTAGTTATGTACGGGTGCTTTGAATCAAGACTTTAAGCAAACTGAGTATGAATGATGACCCAGCACATCTTGGATTTCCAGTGGACAAAGGTAACAGTTATGTTGGACCACTCTCCGGAGAAGGAGTTGTTCAGTGGATCCATTTCATCCTCCTAGAACCCTAACGTAAGGATTACATTCTGATAAGTGCCATGCATACAGTTATTGGGAGGGGTTTTGCCGGGTTTTTGTTTGTTTGTTTGTTTAGCAAGAGAGAACACAGAAGGACACAGAATGGTTTTTGTGTGTTGGATTTTTACTCTGGAGTACTTGCGATGTTTCTTCTATTTAAGTTTTTGTAAAAACTGAAAGTGAAGCCTTTCCTTAAAATGAAATCTTTCCACTTCCCATTCTAATTAGTCCCTCAGAGTGTAGCATTCTTTAATACAGAATCCATCAATATAATTATAAGGCATATCGACTGGAGTGTAAAACAAAGCACTCTTAAAGATTGGACAGATAGTACTATTTATGTATATACTATGCATTTTAAATCTGTATCAGATGGAAAAAGTACATTGAGAGGTGTTCTGTGTAGCTTTTACTTGAAAACTGCCAGAAGAAATGCGTAATTGTAATCAGTTGATGTTCTGATTTGTTTTTTATAAGAATTTTTTTATATCAGCAAAGAATTCCGTAGCATGTTCTGATAATGCATGACATGACATGAAAATGGCTAACTTCTTAGCATGTGGGAAGTTACACTCTCCTTGCTAGCTTAGGAAATGAAAGTCAGATTGCTTCTGTACAAGTTAAATGAAAGAGACTTTCCTAGAAAAAGTATAGATAAACTTGCAGATTAGTCAGCCCAGACTTACGACCCACAGTGGAAAATCTGTTAACTCATCCTTTTTATTTAGAATAAATTGACAGTTACATTTTTCAGTGATGATGATTCTGCATTTGTGTATATGTGTGTGTATACTTGTATACATACATATGATAGAGACATACACAACCACAATCTGTATTGCTGCTTTTTCAGGGATAACTTAGCAGTCCTCCATACTCTGCAATGTGGGCTTTTTTATCTTTCTTTCACTTTATGAATTCCATGGCTTTCTCTGGGTTTTAAAATTGCCACTATGTTTTTCTCCCATAACTGATCTAACTTCTATATTAACAGAAGACAAGTGATGGACATAACGTAAACACAGCTGCATTGAGTTTTGTTCAGCTGATGTTTAAAATATGTTTCTTGCTTTCTGTGAGGCCTCAGCTACAAGCATGCTAAACACAGATTTTTCAGGGCGACTAAAAGAGGTCAGCCTTAGCATCCATCACTCTCTAAATGCTGCTGTTTGTGCTGTTCTGAATGATCACTGGGATGAGTGAGACTGTGTAGAGTATACTAGGAAATAATGTTTTCAGGACAGACCTGCCCATGGCAGGCAGGGTGTTTCAGCTTTCTTGAAATAAGGATATATTTTTGTTCAGTTTAGAACATCAGCAGTCCAAGTTTTCCCAGTACTTTCCTACACATTTTACACGATGGCAAAGGGTGACCTGTAGCAAATATTTTTTAAAGTAAATTCTGTATGTCTTCTGTCTGAAAGATATGAATTTGTATCTGGATATCCTTTATGACAGATGAAGAAGGGTTATAAAGGTTTATGTAGCCTAGTCTGTATTTAATTGTTTTACAAAGATGTGAGTTAAACTCTCATAATAAGTAGCTATTTGTAAAATATGCATTCTGTACACCTGCATTCAGACAAATTCCCACAGCCAGATTTGCGTCAGCTTTGTTCTTGTGGTCTTGTGAGCAAGGAAGCTGAATCTAATTCGGGTAAGATCCAATATTAGCAGTTATTTTATACCCTCTTCATCCTGAATTTCATGTAACACTGTATATAGATTAGTTACTTAATGTGGCTGAGTTGTCTGGGGTACATATCCTGTATTAATGCAGCATTTGGGAAGCATTGTGCTAGGAACTGCCAGAAAACAGCAGCTCTG